TCGGGTCTGTTCAGCAGCACTGCCTCCTTCTCCCTCCCCAAACGCGCAATCCACTTCTTATTTTATGTTTCTTAACTGTTTATTGCCAGTCACATCTGGTATATGAGAGGATTCATTTCTCTGAGTTTAACTATATTTAAAGCAAAATTGAAATCTGGACACAGGTGGCTCACGCCTGTCGTCCTGGCTACTCAGGAGGCTGAGATCTGAGGATCATGGTTCAAAGCCAGCCTGGGCAGGAAAGTCTGTGAGACTCCTGTGAAAAGCCGGAAGTGGAGCTGTGGATCAAGTGTTAGAGCCCTTGCTGTGAGCAAAGACGCTCAGGGACAGCACCAGGCCCTGAGTTCGAGCCACAGGACAAACACTTGTGGGCGTGCACACACACATGCACACGCACACACACACGCACACGTGTGCACGCACACATATAGCAAAGAAGAAGAAATGACTTCATTCTAAAAAGAAGGTCTGATGAGGAGGCTCCTGCTCACAGTGGGAACATGGACCAGTGTCCTGCATGCTGTCTGTGCACACGGTTCTACAGAGCGCGTTCAGATTCCAGCAGCAAGATGAGGGCCCGGCGCTGTGCACCGCAGCTCTTCCGGGCACTCGCTCCTGGCTGAGGGGAAACGTCTCAGCACTGGGTCCCGGGAAAAGCACAGGGGGCTGCGGGTGACTGGGCCTGGGGCCAGGGGGAACACAGTAGGGGGTGCAGAGTGTGCACATGTCTGTATGTGTGCAGATGCATGTGGCGGTGTGTGTCTAGGTCTGTATGTGTGCAGATGTACGTGTCAGTGTGTGTCTATGTCTGTGTGCAGGTGTGCGTGTCAGTGTGTGTCTATGTCTGTACATGTGCAGGTGTGGGTGTCAGTAAGTATATATGTCTGTATGTGTATAGGTATGTATGTCTGTGTGTAAGTGTATATGTCTGTATGTGTGAAGGTGTGCATGTTAGTTAAGTGTATATGTTTATATGTGTGCAAGTGTGTGCATGTCAGTGTATATATGTGTGTGTGCAGGTGTGCATGTTAGTGTGTGTCTGTCTGTATGTGTGCAGGTGTGGGTGTCAGTGTGTAAATGTCTATGTCTGTGTGCAGGTCAGTGTGTAAGTACACATGCTTGTATGTGTGCACTTCTGTCTGTGTTTAATGATGTGTGTATTTGTGTGTAGGTGCACATGTCTGTGCCTATCTGTATGTATGTATGTCTGTGTGTATGTGTGTGTAAAGTCTGTATGTCTTTGTGTGTGCACCGCATGCCCATATGTATGGGTTGGAGAGAAAACCTGACTTGACTTGATTTTCCATTCTGCTGTCTTCGTGGCTATATTTATTAGTTTTCCCGATACCTCTAGCATGTTTATTAATGTGAATGATCATATGGACAGGGTTCGCCATGGGATAAGCAGTGCTTTCCGGGCATTTTGCTTTTCCCTGGTGATGAGCACATGAGCAAGGAGTGGTCTGCACTGATGTGGGTGCCCCCGGCCTTTGTGCGCTCTTGGTGCATCCTTGGCTCCTCAGATAGTTTTCTCTTTTGGAAAACTGCACAATTTGCCTTAAAGTGTCACATTATGTAGATTTCAGCCACCAAATATTCTATTTGAAGACAGAAAGGAAGTGAAAATCATTTTCTAGACCTCACAGCCATTACTCTGTGCGAGACTGCAAATTTCCATTTTGTGGAACTGTGGGGTAGACACGCTTCTTCTTTTGCTAATGATCCTGAGTACTGTGAGTTTCATTAGGAATAATTGTGCTCGCGGTGTTTACTGATCTGGAATACTTTTTAATGTGTCTATCTAATCGCCCTAGTAGGGTTATGTCACGGCCTTCCCATCCAGCAGTGCCAGAGCGTTTTTTTGGTAGTTAATTTTATATTAAAATTATAATGAAAAGACAGATCACAATTGCTTGCATTTATAGGGAAAGAACATTCTAGAGTGGGAAAGTTGCCTTTGATCTTCCTATGAATTAAACATGTATCTCACACTTCATCCCAAGTCTACAGCGATTCTGCACCTCCGGGTGTCAGCGGTGGGAGACTCTGAATTCACGAAACCATTCACACCGTGCCAGGCAGCCATGCGGGAGCTCGCTCGGTCCCAGCTGGCCTGGGGCCCCGCAGCACTGTGTCTTCTTGATGTGGTAGACCGGAGGAGAGGCAGGGACGAGATGCAGGTCTCATGGCCCCCACCGCCCTGCAGGCAAGGTGGGGCCGGCCCTCCATCCTCCAGCGGGCCTTCTCCACTCCAGGCTGTCTGACTGCCCCGTCCAGCTTTGGGCCCTGCAGGGCGAAGGCCACAGTTCCCTCAAGATGCTCTTGGCTCCGTCTGAGCCCTAATTTCTTGCTTTCAGTCCTTCCAGCTGCTTAAGTCTCCTCAGAGAAACCGTGCAGCTACGCAGGTAGCAATTATTAAACCAAGGGCGGATGATCTAGTGCTCTGTGGCCTGCCAACCAGAATCAGGTTGAACGGGAATCCCTGTCCCTGGCCGGGCACTGTCTGTAGGACATGGCGTGTAAGAAAGGGCATCCTCAGGCGTGCAGGTGGCTGGAACGCGGCCACAGCGGCTCTATCCTGAGAAACGCGTCGCGCTCTGTAGGCCTCAGTGCCTTTGGTGCGTCCGGTCTGTGGAGTTTCCCTGTCCCACCGCTTCCTTCCCCCAGGCCACAGGTCCAACAGAAGCCGACCCCGCCTCTGGCGGCATGCGGAGGCTCACAGCTCACGCCCTCCGCCCAGACAGGGTCTGAGGAAGGACGAAGGATGCCTTCCCTTCCAGCCCTGCACAGCTGCCGACGCGTGTGTGCACACGCATGTATGATGTGTCTCTGTGTTGTTACTGAGTGATGTAACATTTAGATAGATAGACGGATGGACAGACGGATGGACAGATGGATACAATGTGAGAATAAATGTCACATGTGTTAGACATTTGGGTCACTGCAGGGTAAATGCATATGGAAGCCTTTAGCATTTTCTCCTTGAAATGGTTCCATAGAAGAGGTCTTAATAAGAGGAGAGTGAGGCTAAGATGAAGGCTGATTTTCTGGGACACGATTGAATTGTCCTCATGTTGGCTGTGGCCGATTGCATCGTGGTGACGGCCGGCACGGGACCCGCTCTCCCGGGTGCAGTTCCTGAAGGGGGACGTGCACCGTGCCACCCGCCCGTTCAGCACGAACACACAGCGCCCTGTCTCTCAGGGGTCAGTACCTCGGCCAGTCCCGGGATCTGCCGCCGGGGCTCGCGTTTCCTGATGGTCATATTATGCAGACCCTTTGACTGATACGCGCCCAGCTCCCGTGTGGAGCCGCTTGCTTCTCCAGTCTGGCCTCAGCTCCCGGGACTCCACGGGCTGCCTCAGTCACCCCATCTCCCCAGCCCCTGCGCTGCCCACGCTCTGTGCTCTCCTGCTGTCCCCCTCGTGTCCTCCTCCCCCTCCTCCCGCAGCCCTGGCCTCTAGCTGCTGCTCACCACCCCCCACCTCGCCGCTTCTCTTTCCGAGGCCTGTGGGGGGGTCTCCTGGCTCGCTCCTCCTCACTGGGCCACAGGACCCCGGCCCTGGGGGGTCTCACCCTCCGGCTCCCAGCAGCCCTCCGTGAGAGGAACACAGAGCAGCGCGTGGCTCCGGCTGCATCTCGGTCCTTTCTGGGAGCAAAAGTGCTCAGAGAGGAGGCCACATGGAGAGGAGGCCACAACGGGGGGGAGGCCACATGGAGAGGAGGCCACACGGGGGGAGGCCACACGGGGGGAGGCCACACGGGGGGAGGCCACGAGGAGAGGAGGCCACACGGGGGGAGGCCACACGGGGGGAGGCCACGCGGAGAGGAGGCCACACGGGAGGAGGCCACACAGAGAGGAGGCCACACGGGGGGAGGCCACACGGGGGGAGGGCACACGGGGGGAGGCCACGCGGAGAGGAGGCCACACGGGGGGAGGCCACACGGAGAGGAGGCCACACGGGGGGAGGGCACGCGGAGAGGAGGCCACACGGGGGGAGGGCACGCGGAGAGGAGGGCACACGGGGGGAGGCCACATGGAGAGGAGGCCACACGGGGGGAGGCCACATGGAGAGGAGGCCACACGGGGGGGAGGCACACGGGGGGAGGCCACACGGAGAGGAGGCCACACGGGGGGAGGCCACACGGGGGGAGGCCACACGGGGGGAGGCCACGCGGAGAGGAGGCCACACGGGGGGAGGCCACACGGGGGGAGGCCACACGGGGGAGGGCACGCGGAGAGGAGGCCACACGGAGGAGGCCACAGAGGGAGGAGGCCACACATGGGGAGAGGCCACGTGGAGAGGAGGCCACATGGAGAGGAAGCCACACGGGGAGGTTATGTGGAGAGGGTGTCACGTGGGGAGGAGGCCACGGGGGAGGAAGGACCCGTTCAGGGCTCCGGTGGCTGTGTCACCCTCCGTTTCCAGGTTGACGTCTCTAATCGCATGCGGGTCAGGCGCAGTCACCAGACCCACCCCGTCCCCAGCATTCTTTTTCTCAAGGCTCGACCACAGCTCCGCTGCCAGCTTCTTCTGAGAGGTTTGTTGGAGATCAGAGTCTCACCGACTTTCCTGCCTGGATTGGCTTTGAACTGGGATCCTCAGACCTCAGGCTCTGAGTGCCTGGATCACGGGCAGGAGCCACCACTGCCTGGCTGCACATTTCTTCCTTAAATCAGAAGGGGAGCCCCGGGCAGGGCTCACCAGAGCCTCCGGGCCTTTTATTATTCCTATTGCTTTGAAATTAAACCGTGTTATATTCTTTCCCTCCCCAGGTGAACTCTGCCAAGCATGGGATGCACCCACGTTTCTAGGAGGCAGGCAGTCGGGGTTAGAGCTGCCGCAGCCGCTGGCTTTCCCGGGTCTCCGGTTCTAGGTGGCGTCTGACCACACGGGGCTCTGAGCGTTTCCCCACTGTTTGCCTTTGGAGCGCGCCCACAGCAGTGACGGCCCCGCCGCGTTCCAAGCCGGAGCTTGACATTGCCTTTGTCATTTCAGCCTACGAGCTGCAGAACTGCCCGGACCCACCCCCGTTCCAGAACGGGTACATGATCAACTCGGACTTCAGCGTGGGGCAGGCCATCTCCTTCGAGTGCTACCCGGGGTACGTGCTGCTGGGCCAGCCCGTGCTCACCTGCAGACACGGCCCCGACCGGAGCTGGAACTTCCCCTTCCCGCGCTGCGATGGTAGGCTGCCCGGTGCTTCTGCCGTGGGGGGGGGGGGGGGGGGCAGGAGGAGGAGGAGGAGGGGTCGGGCGGCGCCACCTCTGCTCCACGTCTGGGCACACTGAACTTGAAGCAAGCGTGCCCAGACGAGCATCTCCGGTGGTGCACACACTCACTCTGCTTGGTGTTGCAGGAACATTTCCCCTACTGCAAGGCAGCAAAGCCGCTTTGCGCTCCGGCAGGTTATAGCGGTAACGAGGAAAGCAGCACCAGTAATAGTGAGGCAGCTAGACCCCACGGGTCTGGGAGAAGCCAGCACCCCACCCCCCAGGCTGCGGCCATGTGTGAGGCCGGAGGGCGTGGGGGCTTGCGGATGATACGCTGGGAACTGGAGACGTACAGATGTGTAGTATATCTCTGTCTATGTTATGTACATTCTGTTAGGTATCTTACATGCATATAGGTTTTTAAACTGGTCTGTGAGTATCATTGCTGTCACTGGGAGCAGGGAGCCGCGGTCCCGGAGGGAGGTGGGGAGGCGGGGGCTGGGGGTTGGTCTCAGCCAGCTGCCGGGCGGGCAGGCCCGCTGGGGGCCAGGTGGCCTCCTCCTGGTGACACAGAGGGTTTCAGCCAGGGAAGGCCTGCATGGGGAGCCTGCTGAGCAAGCTCTAATGGCCTGTCCAGGAGAGCAGGAGGGTGGGAGAAGTCGCGTTTTCCTCGTGGCGGGACGGGGCCTTGCTGTCTGCAGAGGGGCGGTGCGGTGGCGGGCGTGGAGCTGTGTCTGAGAGCCGGCGAGGGTGTGAGGGCTCCGTGTGTTCTAGCCCTGGCCGCACTGCACCTGCACAGCTGGGTGCAGAACGCACGCCCGGCAGGTTATAAACCCAGGTTTGTCGGACTTCAAGCCCCGCTTACTTCTGCTCAGACGAAGCTGTCCTGTCGCATGCCGGGGCTGCCTTGGGTGTGTCTGCAGGGCCCGGCCCCGCGTTCTCCAGAGAGCCCGCCCGCATGGGGCGCTGTCAGATCCTGGCTTCCCCTCCGCTTCCTGATCATCCTTAGCATTTCGCATCATTAAAATTGTCTTCTCGTGTGTCTTTTGATATGCTCTGGCCTCTTCCTTCCCCTAAGCTTGAGGCCCTTTGTTGCAAGTCTTTGATGGCTGTGGGGGACAGAGCTGGTGGTCAAGCCTCACCCCGCATCTGAGGCCGCGGTGGGATTTCAGTTTGACAGGTGGCCTGGGTACATGAAAGGGGGCATGTCAGAGGACTCCGCCCACACCTGGCCACCCCACCTTTCTACACGAAAGATGATCACCACAGCAACCAAAAGGTCAATTTGTTAAACCCAGAATGAAGACAGACCGGGGCCCAGACTGCGCCAGTAGATAGGGAGTACTTGTGTTGAAACGCTACTTATGTATGTTCATCTTGCTGCTTCAACTGAAGATTCGCACTGAGTTGATAGTGTCAGTGTTTCTGCCGGGCTGAGATGCCCGTCTTTCCCACAGCTTCAATAGGCTTTAGGAAAGTGACTTAAAACAAAAAGTTCAGTTATATATTTATGTGTAATGTGCGTGTCACCCCTTGCCTGGCGTTGGATGGTCCAATGGATTAATTATCAGCGCAGTCACAGATGGCGGCTGACTGTGGATTTTTTTTTTATCATATAGGAATGCTATCCTCAGGGATTTTGAAGATTTGGAGTCTATGTGAAGTGAGACGGAGCTATCTTAGCTTAGAAGTATAATTCTCCTGAACTTTGCAGGGTTGAGGGGAAGAACTTTGGCTAAGTAGTTGCTGAGAACTGAGTCACAATTATTTTGTACCTGGGAGCATGGAGGCTAAGCCCTTTCTGAAATAGTCACCTGCTCTCTAAAGCCCACGGCTGGCTGCTTTCTCCCCAGCGCCCTGCGGGTACAACGTGACCGCCCACAACGGCACCATCTACTCCCCCGGCTTCCCGGACGAGTACCCCATCCTGAAGGACTGCCTGTGGCTCATCACCGTGCCCCCAGGTCACGGCGTCTACATCAACTTCACCTTGCTGCAGACGGAAGCCGTGAACGACTACATCGCCGTCTGGTACGGGCGCCACGCTGCCTGTGGTGACTCTGACTTAGTGCTTACACGTGTATCTCGTTTAGTGCTTACATGTCTCCTACGTATCAGATTACAGCCTCCCAGGCAACAGAATCACAGACACAGAGACAAATTTCAAGCTACACATTGAGTTTTGCTGCATAGTAGAATAACCAAATATTAGGCATTGTTGGGGTTTGAACACAGGACCTTTTGCTCACCACCAGATATTTGGCATTGTTGAGGTTTGAACGTGGGGCCTTGTGCTCACTGGGCCAGGACCCTTCCACTTGGTCCTTTCCCCCTGGGGTATTTTGGGACAGAGTTGTGAATCTTCTTCTGGACTTGCCTAGAGCAGATGTCCTCCCAGCCTCTGCCTGGAGCACAGCACTCAGCCCCGTAGCAATTGACTTTTAAAACATGAGAGTAGCCCCTGCCCAGCCTCTGCCCAGCCTCTGCCCCGGCCTCTGCCCCGGCCTCTGCCCGGCCTCTGCCCCGGCCCCTGCCCCGGCCCCTGCCCCGGCCCCTGCCCCGGCCCCTGCCCCGGCCTCTGCCCCGGCCCCTGCCCCGGCCTCTGCCCCGGCCCCTGCCCCGGCCCCTGCCCCGGCCTCTGCCCCGGCCTCTGCCCCGGCCCCTGCCCGGCCTCTGCCCGGCTTCTGCCCTGGCCTCTGCCCCTGCCTCTGCCCCGGCCCCTGCCCGGCCTCTGCCCGGCCTCTGCCCCGGCCTCTGCCCCGGCCCCTGCCCCGGCCCCTGCCCCGGCCCCTACCCCGGCCCCTGCCCCGGCCCCTGCCCCGGCCTCTGCCCCGGCCTCTGCCCGGCCTCTGCCCTGGCCTCTGCCCCGGCCTCTGCCCCGGCCCCTGCCCGGCCTCTGCCCGGCCTCTGCCCCGGCCTCTGCCCCGGCCTCTGCTCCAGCCTCTGCCCGGCCTCTGCCCAGCCTCTGCCCAGCCTCTGACCCATCCTCTGCCCCGGCCCCTGCCCCGGCCTCTGCCCCAGCCTCTGCCCCTGCCTCTGCCCATCCTCTGCCCCGGCCCCTGCCCCGGCCCCTGCCCCGGCCTCTGTCCCGGCCTCTGTCCCGGCCCCTGCCCCGGCCCCTGCCCCAGCCTCTGCCCAGCCTCTGCCCCAGCCTCTGCCCCGGCCCCTGCCCCGGCCTCTGCCCAGCCTCTGTCCCGGCCCCTGCCCCGGCCTCTGCCCCAGCCTCTGCCCCGGCCCCTGCCCCGGCCTCTGCCCCGGCCTCTGCCCCGGCCTCTGTCCCGGCCTCTGCCCCGGCCCCTGCCCCGGCCCCTGCCCCAGCCTCTGCCCGGCCTCTGCCCTGGCCTCTGCCCCAGCCTCTGCCCGGCCTCTGCCCAGCCTCTGCCCCGGCCTCTGCCCCGGCCTCTGCCCCGGCCTCTGCCCGGCCTCTGCCCTGGCCTCTGCCCCGGCCTCTGCCCCGGCCCCTGCCCCGGCCTCTGCCCGGCCTCTGCCCAGCCTCTGCCCCAGCCTCTGCCCCGGCCCCTGCCCCGGCCTCTGCCCAGCCTCTGCCCCGGCCTCTGCCCAGCCTCTGCCCAGCCTCTGCCCCGGCCCCTGCCCCGGCCTCTGCCCAGCCTCTGCCCAGCCTCTGCCCCGGCCCCTGCCCCGGCCTCTGCCCAGCCTCTGCCCCAGCCTCTGCCCCGGCCCCTGCCCCGGCCTCTGCCCAGCCTCTGCCCAGCCTCTGCCCCAGCCTCTGCCCAGCCTCTGCCCCAGCCTCTGCCCCGGCCTCTGCCCCAGCCTCTGCCCCAGCCTCTGCCCCGGGGGCCCATGGGGCTAGGGGATGGCCCTGCTCCTGTGCAGGTCTCAGGACACAGCTGCACGTCATCCTGGGAGGATGTGCTCTGACGAGGCTCTGCGGCCAGGACGCCCAGAGCATACATGCAGGAGTGTGTGCTGTAAATGAAGTGTGGGTGGGTGTGTTTACGTCTGTGTCTGCTTGTGTGGTGTGGTGGTAGGAGGTGTGTGCGTGCATTTGTGTGGTACAAGTGTGATGGTGCAGCTGTGGTGAGTATGGCCTCGGAGGTGACATGTGCATGTGTGTGCTGTGTAATGTGTAGTGTGTGAGTGTATTTGCATCCGTGTGTGCATGTATGTGTGATTGCTTGTGTGCACTTAGTGCACATATGCATGTGCATGTGCATGTGTGCGTTTGTGCGTGGTGTGGTAATCAGTGGTGGAGGGTGAGGAGAATACATAACCCGCCATTCCCAAAGCAGAGCAGAGTAGAGCTCACCACACGCATCTCAGCAACCTGGGCCTGGGCTGGGGGAGGGGTCAACTGTGGTTTTAGGGGGTCAGCTGTGGTTCTGGGGGGTCAGCAGTGGTTCTGGGGGGTCAGCTGTGGTTTTAGGGGGTCAGCTGTGGTTTTAGGGGGTCAGCTGTGGTTCTGGGGGGTCAGCTGTGGTTCTGGGGGGGTCAGCTGTGGTTTTAGGGGGTCAGCTGTGGTTCTGGGGTCAGCAATGGTTCTGGGGGGTCAGCTGTGGTTTTAGGGGGTCAGCTGTGGTTCTGGGGGGTCAGCTGTGGTTTTAGGGGGTCAGCTGTGGTTTTAGGGGGTCAGCTGTGGTTCTGGGGGGTCAGCAGTGGTTCTGGGGGGTCAGCTGTGGTTTTAGGGGGTCAGTTGTGGTTCTGGAGGGTCTGCAGTGGTTCTGGGGGGTCAGCTGTGGTTTTAGGGGGTCAGCTGTGGTTCTGGGGGGTCAGCTGTGGTTTTAGGAGGTCAGCTGTGGTTTTAGGGGGTGGTTTTAGTGGCCCCTGTCCAGTGCTGATGACATGGAGGAGGTCCAGGGCCAGAGGAGCCCCTTCAGAACAGAACCCAGGGGACATTGTATTTTATTGAGTTTTAAAAGATGTTTTATTTTTAGAAGCTTCTCACTCTTGCTGTTTGTGGGCGTATTGCATTTAGAATTTAAACATGGGGATTTGACTGACAAGAGATAGACGAGAGACGGAGAAGACATGGACAGGACTAGAGAGGAGGTGGACAGGAGGTGGACAGGAGGTGGACAGGACATGGACAGGACTAGAGAGGAGGTGGACAGGAGGTGGACAGGAGGTGGACAGGACATGGACAGGACTAGAGAGGAGGTGGACAGGAGGTGGACAGGACATGGACAGGACTAGAGAGGAGGTGGACAGGAGGTGGACAGGAGGTGGACAGGACATGGACAGGACATGGACAGGACTAGAGAGGAGGTGGACAGGAGGTGGACAGGAGGTGGACAGGACATGGACAGGACTAGAGAGGAGGTGGACAGGAGGTGGACAGGACATGGATAGGACATGGACAGGACATGGACAGGACTAGAGAGGAGGTGGACAGGAGGTGGACAGGAGGTGGACAGGAGGTGGACAGGAGGTGGACAGGAGGTGGACAGGACATGGACAGGACTAGAGAGGAGGTAAACTAGATGTGGACAGGAAGTGGACAGGAGGTGGACAGGAGGTGGACAGGACATGGACAGGACTAGAGAGGAGGTAAACTAGATGTGGACAGGAAGTGGACAGGAGGTGGACAGGAGGTGGACAGGATGTAGACAGGATGTGGACAGGATGTGGACAGGAGGTGGACAGGAGGTGGACAGGATATAGACAGGAGGTGGACAGGAGGTGGAGAGGACATGGACAGGACTAGATCGGAAGTAAACTGGATGTGGATAGGAGGTAGACAGGCTGTAGACAGGAGGTGGATGGGACATAGACAGGAGGTGGACAGGCTGTAGACAGGAGGTGGAGAGGACATGGACAGGAGGTGGACAGGCTGTAGACTATGTGGACAGGGGGTGAACGAGAGGTAGGCAGAAGTTGTACAGGATGTAGATGGGAGGTGGATGGGAGGAGGAGAGGACATGGACAGGAATTGGACAGGATATTGACAGGAGGTGGTGGACGGGAGGTATGGAGTCCTTTCAGAATTGATGGGAGCTTGCTGTCCCTAGGGATGGTCCTGACCAGAATTCACCTCAGCTCGGGGTTTTCAGTGGAAATACAGCCCTGGAAACAGCGTACAGCTCCTCCAACCAGGTCCTGCTCAAGTTCCACAGCGACTTCTCCAACGGAGGCTTCTTTGTCCTCAATTTCCACGGTCAGTTCATTTTCCCTGCCAACTGCCACCGAGAATTCCAGGTGGTGTTTCCGCAGGGTGAGGCACACCCGACCTCCACGTGCTGGTGTGGGGTCTGGGGACCCTTTTTCCAGCCTCCTAGGTGCAGCCAGGTCTCTTTCTGTCTCCTGTGTCATCAGACCATGGTGATGCGTTCTCAATATCTACTGACATCACATACAAATGTCAGGAACAACCAGTGCTCTTTGGAATGGGCGCTGAGGGGGCTTGCTGTGGTGTGGGGCCCCTTCTCTCCCAGGGCAGACCCCAGAGCAGATTCCTCAGGAGAAGAGGGGATCTTACCAACTCTGAAACAGGACTTGCAGCCAGGCCCTGTTCAGAGCACCTCCCTGCAGAATTCCAAGTGCGTTAGGGGACTTTCCTCTGTGTGTTTAGATAGCAGCTTGGTATAAAATAACTGTAGGAGCACTTGGAAAGTGACAGTGTCACAGGCAGTGGCAAACACGTATGGGTGTTTCAGTGAACCTCAGCTTTACAACCGGAGGGGATGCAGCTTGCAGTCGTCTTGGCTCTCAGCAAGTGTCTGCCATGACACCTGCTTTTCATGAACGTTCTCCCCAGCATTTCAGCTGAAGAGGTGCCCGGCCCCTCCCGCAGTCCCCCATGCCGACCTGATTGCCGAGGATGAGGACTTCGAGATTGGTAAGGTCTCCTCCACCATGCCCCGTGGATTCCAGCCGCGCACACCCTGACCCGCAGTCAGCCCACACTCCCATCTCCCCCGGAATCAGACTTGGGCCGGCACATGGGAAATTTGTCAGAAAGGATGAAACGCCCCCAGGCCATTGCTGTGGTCTGATACAGAGACAGACCAGGAGAGGAGTTTCTTTTACACTTCTGTGACTTTTGTTTTGCCACTTGAATTTGGGTTTTGACATTTGGGTTATTTTCCTTTCTCTTTCTCTATAATGTCACTTAGCCATTTAAAAAATCGTTTTGTACACAGTTTGTGGAGGCAGGCTTCAGCAGATACTTGGTTTAATTAGGGTGAGATATGAACATACTTAAGAAAGACTGTGTTTGTAGCCATAATGCTGATGATTTAACAGAACCTCCCAGGAAGTAATTGGTGGCAGATAGTGGATGATCACATTTAGAAATTCCGCGTTATCACTTACATCAACGGCCGTGTTCACTAAGTGATCATCTGGTACATAATGAAGCACCCGGCACATGTTTGCAGCGTAATTATTGTGACCACAGCTTCTCATTCCTAATGACAAGTCTAGTCCTGATGCCACGGCATGCCTCCAGCGGCTGGTCAGGCTCTGTGACCCGATGACTTCTTTGCTCATGGAGAACCAGCTGACTGAAACCTGTGCTCCTCTGCCAAGGTCACATGGGGGTCATTCTGCCATTCTGCTTCTCCTCGCCGACCCCGAGGCCTATAGTGCATGGCACTGATTTATTTAGTCATCAGGGATGGAGAGCGTAGGAAGGAAACCTGGACACCATGTCTGTACTAACATTGGGTTACTGCAGCATGGGTGTACAGTGAGAATCAGAAATGGCATGTTCTCCAGAGAACACCAGTTCTGAGATGGTTTGCACACCGACTGGATTCATCAAGTGGCCACACACATGTACCACATCATGCACTCAGAATGTTCTGGAAACACCATTTCCCAGCATGTTGGATTGGTTCTTTCAGGAGACTTTGTGAGGTATCAGTGCCACCCTGGCTACACCTTATCTGGAAGTGACGCGCTCACCTGCAGACTCAGCTCCCAGCTGCAGTTCCAGGGCTCAGCCCCCTCCTGTGAAGGTACGTCTGTGAAGACCCGCTGTGTGGCTCCAACATCTGTCTGTCTGTCTGTGAAGACCCGCTGTGTGGCTCCAACATCTTTATCAGCATCAGCTTGAGCTTGACCTGTGTCAATTCCATGCTTACCACTCTCCCTCACTCACAGGTTTCTATTATCTTCCTGTCCAGTCACCAGTCGGCCTCATGCTTTGAATGCTTTCTTTTTTTTCTTTATTTGTCAGTCAGGGGCTTGAACTCTGGGCCTGGGCGCTGTCCCCCAGCTCTTCAGCTCAAGGCTAGCACTCTACCACTTGAGCCACAGCGCTACTTCCGGCTTTCTGGTGGTTAATTGGAGATAAGAGTCTTGTAGATAATGGTCTTTCCTGCCCAGGCTGGCTTTGAACCACAATCCTCAGATCTCAGCCCCCTGAGTAGCTAGGATTACAGGCGTGAGCCACCAGCACCTGGCACTTTGAATGGTCTCTAAGGCAATTTTGTGTGTCATACCACTGCATGAACATAATTAGTTGGTATTTAAAAAATAGGGAGAATAAAATTTATAAACCACCAAGTGAAGTATGCAACTTTCCTGGTTTTTATAAGTCTTTAAAATAAGTTGAATGTATGCAAGAGTTTAGATAATCTATTATAGCAGAGGAAGGGTTTAGGATGGATACATTGTGCCAATGGAGCAACATGATTAGATCGTTTTACACATATAATCTCATTGGTGCTAGTTTCACGTGTATTTAGAAGAAAAGGGTTTTAGGACTACAAACAAGCTCAAACAGCCCAACACCCAACTGAAAGCTATCAACTCACTACAGAAAATTCTCAAATTAATTTTTTAAAAACCACAGTGCAGATGTAGAGCCTTTGCGCAATAAGCCGACTCCACCTGGGAACGTGGGTGATATCAGCATGGGGAGAGGACCAGCTTTGCTTAAAACAGTGAGGGGCTTGGCAGCCGGGATCCCTGCTCTGCGCTTCTCAAAGCTGCAGCGGCTCTGCCGTGCCACTGACGCAGGAGCTGGCCCTCCCGGCCGTCCTCCTGGCTTGGCGGTCAGCAATCCCGCCATGGTCCCAGAAGAAAATCACACTTTTATCTGAGTGGCTTCAGTCTGTGAGTTCCAGAATTATTTTCTACGATGGCCACTCATTTCTGCTATAAATGTTTTTTAAAATATGACCAAAAATGCGTATTTATTTAAAGGACTCTATGTCATGCATCACTGCTGGTGATTTTATGTCTAAACATTCCTAAATTTGAAGGTATATTTCAATTAGAAACAGAAGAAGGTGAAGCTTTTCTTTTCCCCACAAGGTTAGTTAAAATATGTTCAAGCTTTTAAATAAGATATATTCTGTTTGGAGAACTATTTGTATTAAAAATACAGCTGTAAGTAATACAGAGGAAATACCTTAGAAGTCGATAACTCAATAAGATACATTTTTGATGAAAGTTCAATTTCTTTGTGATTACTGATTGCTGAACTTTTTTAAAAACACTCTAAATAGTTATGGTTCTATTTGTGTGCTATTACTAATAATAGAAACAGTTTTCCCTTAATTATTCTGTAAGCAAATGTTTCTAGAATATAATTTATCAACAAGAGAAATTAGTGGTTGATGAACTCTCATTTGGCTATTCCCTTCTGTGCATGCACATCTGTGAAGATTATTTTTATTTGAATTACCTTGTAAGTCACTGAACAAGAATGTGAAGAAAGCAGGGGAAAGGCTTGCACACGTACCCCTAATCCCTCACAGTTCATCCAGAAACGCTTGTCTAGGTAAACCTGGATCCCAGTGCAAACTGTGGGGTGCTGCGGGTGCGGGCTGGGTGTGAGTCAGATCTGTCGACTGGACCTCTAGTGAAGCCACAGCTGAAGTTCCAATGCCACTAACTCGCGTGGGTCCAGGACAGAGCGGCTTGAGAGCAAGCAGCTGGATTTAGTCCCACCGTCTGACTTGGGTGAACTTGGGCCCCATCGTGAAATGCGCAGTGCCTGCCGGTCTCCAGCTTGCCTCTCGGGCAGTGTGTGTGTCTGGTATTCAGTGTAGTCAGAGCTCAGTGAGGTCGCCTTTTCTTTTCATCAGCTTGTATATACAGGGATAAAAAGTCTCCTAAGGAAGTTGGATTCATTTTGTGAAAGCAAAGCTTTACCGATGCTTCTCTCTGCAGCACAATGCCCAGCAAATGAAGTCCGGACAGAATCTTCTGGAATAATCCTCAGCCCTGGGTATCCAGGCAACTATTTTAACTCCCAGACCTGCTCCTGGAGCATTAAAGTAGAACCAAACTTCAATATTACTATCTTTGTGGACACATTTCAAAGTGAGAAACAATTCGATGCGCTGGAAGTGTTCGACGGTAAGTTCCTTCTGTTGATGTGTTCCCGCAGCACAGGGGCTGCGCTGCATTCTCCAGATGAATTCAGATTTCTGCCCCAACCAAATCCCATCAGCCCATGCCCAGCACTCGGGCCTGGTTCTCTCAGAGAGGAAGATGGTACCACTGCTGACCTTGTAACTTTGCAAACTGAAGTTGCAATGTGAACAGGAATTTTTTATTTTTTAAAGTTACCTCTAAGTAGTTGTACAGAGAAGTTTCAATTCAACGTGTCAGTGTATGAGTACAGGCATCCTTGTGCATGCCATGAACTTTTTAACTATTCTTCAAGTCTTTAATGTGGGAACTCAGAGAAGATGCTCTCAAAAGTCCTTTCTTTCCCAGATATCACATTCATTCACAAAGCACTGTCGGTGAATTAAGAAGTGTACAAATATTCTACTCAAGTTGAGCACTTTGCTAGAAAGGCATAAAAATCATGACAGAGACATCTAGCAGACAGAGGGTAGCCGTCCTCTCGGGTTATTTTTTAGTAGTAAAGTACAGCTAACTAAAAACACACTGATGTTGTTTTCAGTACCAGCCTTATGATTTTGCTGCAATTTGAATGAAAATGTTAATGTAATAATACACATATTTGAAGTCAATTTTAAGTGAAATTGATGATAATTTTGTCTACAAGCAGACCAGGATACAATTACAGCTGAACATAATAACGGCATTTTCTCATGTTTTGACATAGTTTTCGTTGAGTTCAGATAAGTCACAATCATTTCAGTGGAAAAAAATAATGTTATTAAATTTTTGGTTGTTGTGCTGCCCTGAGGAGCTTCCAGTCACATGACCGTATCCATAGACCCCTGACCATCAGCCTGTGTGTCTTCACATGACCGTATTGATAGACCCCTGACCATCAGCCAGTGTGTCTTCCCATCACCGTATCCATAGACCCCTGACCATCAGCCTGTGTATCTTCAAAGACTGAATTTATGTATTTCTATATTTAGAATTAAATTCAGCTTTATATATAGAAAAACAGAAGACTAGGGAAACAGTATCTTGTTTTCAGAGGGATTTTTCAGTGTAATTCCAGGCAGACATGCATCTTTCCTTCTGTCCTTTTAGTGGAGGAAGGGAATCATTATATTAGTGTGGAGAGGGGAGGGAAGAGGAGGGGGGAGGGGAGGTACACTCACCTCAAGCCTATCAGAGGCAAAGGGAAGCAACGCCTGTGTAGACCATGAATGTCCAGACATGTTGTATGCAAGAATATCCGTGTGTATCCCTAGGCACCTACGATAATTAAATATAAGTAATTACTTTGGATGTTTCACATTAGTTGGACTGGAATATAGCTGGCCATGGGCTTCTTTTAGTTTCAGGAGAACCGTTTGTACTATAACGTATCCATTGATTGCCTCCACATCTGGACAGCCCACACCTGTGATAAGCAGCAAGCAGAGGAGACCTCAGACCCAATAGCCTGTGAGGGCTGAAAGCCTCAGAGAGCTAGGCTAGCTTTGTTCTACTCCCAGAGATTTTTGATGACACCAAAGGTCAGAGTTTTATATGGATAAGGTTTTAAGTGGTGGCATTTTCTTGCAGTAAATGTCATGCTTCTGCCTTTATTTGATAAGACTGTGCCCCTCTCTCCCCTCTGCGTTGACCAGAGAGCGGTTGATGATATTGATGCTGAAAGTCATCATCCCAGCAGTGTTTGCTCTGTGTCAGAAGTCTGGAGAGACACAATTTCTAAAAATGGGACTTCAATCATGGTGGGACTGGGCTGAGTAATGGATGTGACTCTCTGGTGCACAGGGCTGCTGGCACCAAGGCCTCTCGGGTTCTCACACCCCACCCCAGTCCCATGTGGCCGGCCCAGATCCACTGCCCCTCAGGACATCAGCCCTCTTGGGTCAGAACCACCCTTGAGAGCTCACCCATCCCAAGCACAGATCCTATATCCAGACACAGCTACCTTCTGACGTATTGTGTGATCAGAGATGAATGCAATTAGCCTGATTTGAAAATTATGAGAAATTCCTAAGAATTACACAGTCAATGGTGTTGCAAATTGTCAATTTAAATAAATTACCTCTGTATAAATGTCAAGGACAGGGTCACTCACCCTGGCCACACGTGTACTGGGAATGGCCGGGAGGCCTCCTCCACACTCTGCGCTGCGTTTCCAGGAGACTTCTCCTGAAATGGACCAGTGCCAGGAGCACGTGAAGGAAGGAAAGGAGAGTGTGAAACTCCAAAGTATTATTTAGGGTCCAAACGCAGAAGTGGTGTGGGCATACGGATTATTCTGTGCAAATAGCCCTTTGTGCACAAGTGCTATATGCTTAAACAAATTGAGATCCTGAAAGGGATGCCCCAGAGCTGCAGAGACATGTCCAGAGTCTGTGGTCTCGCTCGGGAATGCCGATCAAGGCGCTGATGATGTCACACGCAGATGACCTCACTGTCCATTCCCATGACGCCAGCTCAGTAGTCTCTGATGAAGGCATCGATGATGTCACAGCCGGTTCCTGTGCTGCACGCATGGATGATGTCACTGCCCATTCCCACATTCCCAGCACAGTGAACACTGCACGCACTGATGATGTCACCATCCATTTCACTCTTCCTGCTGTTTCTTAGGCTGTTTAAATGTCCTGCCGTTAGTAACTTAAGCAAGTGACTTTTTATCCTGGCTGTTGGTATTCTTATCAAGGAACTTTGTTGCTGTGTTCATTTGAGATTCTTTGTCCACTTTGGAAATACATACTGTACATAACACGTTTGGATCATAGTCTTGTCAGAAGCTGAAGATGATCTGTGTGTAGGTGTGAACTCACTCTCCCGGGCTTGCCATGCTCTCTCCCCAGGCTCTTCGGGACAGAGTCCTCTGTTAGTTGTCCTAAGTGGGAACCACACTGAGCAATCCAATTTCACCAGCAAGAGCAACCAGCTGTACCTCCGCTGGTCCACTGACCACGCAACCAGTAAGAAGGGATTCAAGATTCGCTATGCAGGTACGTGACTCACCATGGGATCATCCTTCACACAAGGGACCTTCATTCCATTAAAAAAAAAAAAAATGAGCGGGGTAAGCCAGCACACACCTGTAATCCCAGATATGTAGAGGCTAACAGGAAGATCACAGGTCAAAGCCAGTCCAGAAGTAAAGGAGATCCTAACTAAGAGCAAAAGGCTGCGTGGATGGTGGCCTGGCAGAGCACTGCAGGAGTAAGCCTTTGGTTTAATCTCTAGTCCCATAATAAAATAAAATAAAAAGTAAAACAAAATAGAGATTATAATGCATATCAATCTAATCTGTGACTATTCCTAACTGTACAAGAAATCGTGTTGGGAAGGGAGTCTCCATGCTGTATCTACACAACACTAGCATATTGGGTGGTAATTATTTTAAAATGTATCATTAAAACAATAGATCTTTGAATTGCATGCCATAGACCACAAAGGTATTTCTCAAAAGATACAATAATATCACCAAAACTAGTCCTTTAAATGTTAAGAAAATAGATTATGTCACTGCTGACTACGTGTGTTGATAACCTCTTTTGTTAGGACATCAGGTTGTCAGTGTTTCTGTGATCCTTATACACGCCACATACACATAGTGAATGTGTACTTCATATATATATGTATGTACATATATGTATATATACAGATGGAAAGATATCTGTATATGTATGCATACAGATGTATATATACAGACGATAGGAGGCCAGGCAGGGTGGATGGAAAGACAGGGGAGGGGTTCAGACAACCTTCCTCTGTTCTGTGGAATACGATGCATGCAGAACCTTGTCACAGAGACCATGGGACCATGGGAGTTAGGCATAGATTATGTTTGTCAATGTTCTGAAAGAGGCAAACACTAGCCTTTCAAACAACAGGCCTTTATTTCCACCCCGAAAAAATGGCCAGTAGAAGAACTCACCGTGAAACATAATTTATTGTGTTTTATCTGTGGCCTACTCTGACACGTAATACCTTGAATTCTCAGAACACTAACGTCTGCGTGCTAAAGTGTTTTCGTTTTCCTGACGTAGTCACCGTAGAGTGTTATATGTGGCCTCATGTGCATGTGTGATTATGTACACACATGCATGCACACACACACAGGCACACATTCACAAGTGATCACACAGTACAGATACAGACACATGCACGCACGCATGTGCATGCCCAGGACCACCTCAGGGTGCCCGGAGCTGCAGGAGCGCCTGCCGCAGAAAACTGCACTCTTGGCTTTGAGGTCTCATCCGCGTCCTGGGCTTGAACTCAGGGCCTGAGCTCGAGGCTGGAGCTGTGCTCCACTTCTGGCTTTTTGGTGCCTTTTTGGAGATAAGTCCCACAGCCTTTCCTGCCTGGGCTGGCTTCAAACTTCCACTCTCAGATCTCGGCCTCCTGAGTAGCTAGGATGACAGGTGAGCCACGGCCACCCGGCAGCTCTACCTCCAGGCGCTCCTTCTGGCTCTAACAGCCAGGGGCGGTGATCTGCATCCGCCTCAGCAGGGAGGTGAGCCCACCCTGTCTGGTCTGCACTTGGCTCATGTTGTCGGGCTTGTCTGCCCCCAGCCCCGTACTGCAGCCTCCCCGCCACGCTGAGGAACGGCGGCATCCTGAACAGGACAGCAGGGGCAGTTGGAAGCCAAGTTCATTACTTTTGCAAGCCTGGCTACCGGATGATCGGCCTCAGCAACGCCACCTGCAGACGGAGCCCGGCGGGCATCTGCCAGTGGGACTCCCTCGCGCCTCTGTGCCAGGGTAAGGAATGTGCCCCCCCCCCCAGCGGGGCCCCGTCCCGCCCCAGAGGGGGGGCCCCCTCCCGCCCCAGCGGGGCCCCCTCCCGCCCCAGCGGGGGGGCCCCCCTCCCGCCCCAGCGGGGGCCCCGTCCTTCATTGTCACATGGGTCACATTCCAAGGGTGCAGAACCAAGGGGAGGCTGGGGTGGAGGGAAGGGAAGATCAGACTCACGCTTAACTCAGGACAAGCTGAACTTTCCACATCCACGCACACACACATTCCGGATGCTTCCGCCGGGCTTCCTTTCCTTTTGCAGCCTGGATTCAGAGAATGGACACTCATTATGCCGTCAGCCCGGCTATTCCCATACCTTACTCACCATGAAGTGAGCGTCAGTGAGCGTTGGTGGCAATTCCTGAGCACCATTTTGATTAGATGCCCCATTACCGAGTCATTTGTTTTTCTTATTTTAGTTTTATCTTCCTTTGAACCTTAAGCCTTGTATTTAATTTTCTTTGTTCCTTTTAATGGAGGGCTTGTTCATTTCACTGTTTCCTGCAATATTTTTGCATTTTACCTATGCATGCATTTGAAATTAAGTTTTCTAAAGAAGCTTTTTGGTGTTTGGGGAGATGGCTCTGTGACAGGAGCTTGAACTTGAGGCTGGGCGCTGGCCCTGAGCTTTCTCACTCAAGGATGTAGTGCTCTACCTACTACCACTTGAGCCACAGCTCCACTTCCTGCCTTTTGTGGTTGACTGGAGATGAGTCTCACAGACTTCTCTGTCCAGGCTGGCTTTGAATTGCAATCCTCCAATTTCAGCTTCCTAGGTAGCCATGATACAGCACCCAGAAGCCTTTTTATTGTAACTGAAAAAAGTCATGAAATTTTCATACGTTTGCCTGATGAAGTTTATGTTCATCACACAATTGATTATGATTTGTGAATGGGACTTCGTGTTGGCTTCCTTCTTTTTCATTCACATAGGGCTTAGATTTCCATTGTTGCTCTATAAGAGGGTAGGAGATGCAAACTGTTCTCATACATGTACAGCCATGAGTTGTGATAACTTAGCTTATAGTATTTACATCTTTTTTCCAGATCTGAATTAGTTCATGCGTCATAAACATAATGATAGATCCGAGAAGCTTGTTTTATGTTGTTAGGAAGTATGACCTTTCTTCTTTGAAAGTAGGAAAGGGCACTTCCTGCTCCCTCTGAGTCCTCTCACTCTGCGCGGCACAGTGCCTGGTGTGGCAGGAGACACTGCTGTGCCTGCCACGTCTCCTGGGCTGGTTGTTTGGTTTGTTGGTTTGTTTGTTTGTCACTGGAAACAATTTCCGTGACAAATCATTGACCCATGGGACCTATGTTTCTTTGGGCCTGGCTTACTTCACTTAATATAATTTTTTCCAAGTCTTTCCATTTCCTAACAAATGGGGCAATGTCATTCTTTCTGATGGAGGCATAGAACTCCATTGTGTATATATACCACATTTTCTTGATCCATTCATCTACTGAGGGGCATCTGGGTTGGTTCCATATCTTGGGGCGGGGGGAGGAGATGGGAAGGGATGGGAAGGGGAAACAAAGGAGGAGGCAACAATGCTTGATAAGAAATGTACTCATTACTTTGCCCATGTAATTGTAATCCCTTTGTATGGTATTTTCACAACTAAAAAAAATCATTGACCCAAACAACAGCTTAGACTCAGAAAGGGGTCAGAGTGGGCCCAGGGCCCCAAGTTCCCAAATAAAATCCTCTAGATGCCAAGTGAACCATGGCCTGTGTGGACCCAAGGCCTCCAGAGGCTCTGGGGGACTGGGCGTGGGCGTGGGCAGCTGTTGGTCGGAAGCATGGAGTCGAACCCCCACCCCACCCCATGAGGCTCAAGTGCAGAGCTGGGCCAGCTCTCCTTCAGACTCCCAGATGCTTCCGTGAGCAGGGCAGGCCCAGTCCTAGCACCTGGGGTTGGGGGGAAGCATGCCGTGGGCCACATGTATTTTATTGGTTTCAGAGAACTCTAGGTTGTTTTTCTTGTGCTGCTTGACCTTTTAAATGATTTCCCTCGGCAGGGCTGCCTTGGTTTTTATCCTCAATAAAGCGGGCATATCTTCGGTCCTGCAGGCTTCATTTCCTGTCTTCCAGCACGGAGCTGTGCCAAGCAGCAGTTCCATTATCTGTACACTGATCTTATTCATCTCCAAAAGAAGCCTGAGCTAGAGCTGGGGTTTTCAGCATTATCTTGAGGATGCAGTTAAACTGGTTCCTCACCGTGGGCCGCTTTCAAGTTGGCCCTGTTAGAGAGAGTAGCTTGCAAGGAGCATTCGTGACAGCTGCCTCTCCCAGCCTGGTGCACGTGGGGCCCTCACATGGTACAGCCTCTGTCTGCTGTTTGCTTATGCTTTGCCAGCACTTCTGCAACAAGAAAGAGCAGGAAAAAGTTGATCTATCTCGTACATTGTACAACCAAGCTTCTGTTCTTGAAGTCAGGCCTTGAAGAGAGATACAAATGACTATTCTCTGCTCACAGGCAATCATTTCAAGGGTGTAGGGCAGCCCCGTAGGGGGCTGGTGAGGGGCAGTGAATGTGGACCGGTGAGGGGTGGGTGGGAGCGTGAACGTGGCCGGCCTTACGCAGTCCATCCTGCATGTAGGTACAAGGCTCCAAGGATCACATTTGCAGGGAAAACACAGTGGTGAACCCCCTGCCGTGCGATTAGAGCCTGAGTCAGGTTCCAGGAATCTAAGCTTGGCCATTTCACCATGAGAATGCCCTGGGCAATGTCTGCCTCCAGCGTGGGACTCTCTAAATACACTGTTTTCCAAGTTGGGTAAAACTTTTAGTACCAATATCAAAAGCTACAAAGACATAGTTGGAGTTCCAAGGTGGATGGGTGCCTTTCAAAGCTTAAAAATCACAGGAATGGTGACGACTTCCTTTTACCTTAACGCTGTCCTTTGCTTCTGTGTAACTCTCTTCCTTCTGTTAGTGAAAATGACTCCATATCTCCGGAAACTTAGACTTATTTGGAAATGTAACAACTTTTTATAGTTGCAATGAGCATGTGTACGTGTGTGTGTGTGTGTGTGTGTGTGTGTGTGTGTGTGTGTGTGTGTGTGCAGGTGTGCTGTCCTTTTGCTCAGGTTGGCTAAAGGCTTATCAAATTTGTTTATCTTTACAAAGCACCAGCCTTTTGTTTTGTTGATGCTTTATATGGTTCTCTTATTCTATAGTTCATTTATTTCTGACCTAATCTTTCTATTTCTTTGCCAACTGGCTTCAGGTTTACCTTGTTCTTGTTTTTCTAAGAGATTGAGTTACATCATCAGAATATCTGAGATTTTTCTCCTATGATTCCATATTTGTGTTTCCTATGCCTCTGGCTGTCTGCCCTGCTCCTTCTCCCAATACCCATCAGTCACAAATTTGGCTTTTTAATTGAGCTCTGAAGTTCTAAGAGGAAATTCCACAAAATACAAGGGAAAGGAAGAACTTGGGCCAGCAGAGACGGAACAGAAATACAAAAGAGCAAGAACGTGGGTGGAGGGGACTTTTTCTTTTAATGTAGGTAAATAGTGAGGTCTTTCTTTAATGTTTATAAATAGAGGATCTTCTCTTAAAGTTTGACAATTGAAGCAAAAATTGCATAATGTGATTCTCAGTGCAGACAGAGAAAATAATTAAGAGGCCAGTCCTGTCAATGGAGACACAGGAGTGTGAGGTTTCTGTGTTCCACACAGGCCAGCAAAATGTCAGTAGTGCACTGTGGTAACTTGTGCTTTAATAAAAAATAGCTAGAACATTGAATTGGAAAATTATATGAAGCGAAACGAGATAAAACCATAGGTAACCAAAATGCAATTTTAAAGTGTGGTCGAATAACCCATGGGAGAAAGGGAAAATTAAACAGAGGCAGGCATGTGCAAGACACAAAACAACAGCAAAGGGCGGAAAATGCCTCCATCTGTCACTTCGCCACTTTTGAGAGAGACTGGGCTGGGGGAGTGGATGGGTGAGTGGTTGGTAGTGCTCCATTATGCCTGAGTCCTCTCTCTTTACTAAGAGTAAACTTTAAATGTCTTTCAAAAGTGCCTTTCTGTTGACAAACGAGACGTTGGTGGTGATCTGGGGCTTGTCTCAGCGCCGCTGCACCGCCGGGCCACAGAGGCTCAGCTGTCCTGCTGTCCTGAGCTTTTGGCTTAAACGTATGATGGACGGCACAGGAAAACTGCTCAGAAGTCACGTTGGGGCGAACAGCCTGCTTTTTTGGCCTTGTATTCCAGTTTGCCCAGAGAGGCTCTGGCTTATGTCTGGCGAGCCCCCTTCCTGGGTTACTTTGTATTTCTCTCTCTCAGTGTGCATCTCTCTCTGGCTCTGCCTCTGGCTCTCTCCTTCTTAATGGCTTTGATGAAGTTGTATGGTTCCAGTAACTTGGTTTGCATTTTTTGGGGGGGGGGGGGTCTGGTCATGGGGCCTGAACTCTGGGCCTGGGCGCTGTCCCTCAGCTCTTCAGCTCAAGGCTAGCACTCTACCACTTGAGTCACATCTCCACTTCTGGCTTTTTTCTTTTTGCTTATGTGGTGCTGAGGAATCGAACCCAGGGCCTCAGGCATGCAAGGCAAGAGCTCTACCACTGAGCCACCTTCCCAGCCCCTTGGTTGACGTTTATTTAACAGTTTTCCACTGCAAGGCTTCTATCTTGGTCTCCTTCGGGACTCTGGATCTCACCCTAGCGCAGGGCAGCTGAGGAGTCCGAACACCCACGAAGTCTTCCTCTTTCTCTCACATCTCCACGTGGCCCCCATGGCCCCTTCCAGAAGGGCTCCACAGCCACGGCACCAAGTGCTCCCACATGCCAGAGTCCTGGGAACATCCTCAAAGCCGCAGACACCACTTTAGCTACTCACATTATTTAAAAAAGTATCTCTGAGTGTCCATCACAGAAACCATACAGAATTTAAGAACTACACATGCAGGACTGAATGAGTGAACTCCAGACATGAGTGGGAAGCTGCTCACTGCGGGAGCCTGGCTCACTGCGGGAGCCTGGCTCACTGCGGGAGCCTGGCTCACTGTGGGAGCCTGGACTCGGTCTGTCCCTTCTTGCTGAGACAGAGGCTGTCTCCCAGGTGTGCTTGTGCTCGGGTAGGTGTCCTGCACGTTGGTAACACCCTCTCTCCCCTTCAGCCTGCGGAGACGCACCACCGCCCCTGTACTCCCCTCGAGCAGGAAAGTTAAGGGAGCGGGCCCTGGGTGTGTGGGATCTGGGGAAGATATCTGGTAGTCTGTAGGACAGAAAACACTGCAGAGAGAAGCAGAGAGACGTGGTGAGGGTTGGCCATGGCAGACGTCATGAAACAGCTTGCGCTCACTGCACTTGGTAAAGCGAGCGGAACATCTGCCGTCTTAGCTGTCAGACGGGGGTATGGGTTTGGGCTATTTATTATTTATCATTCTAATAGCGTTGTCCCGAATGATAACCACAGACCGAGGGTCAGAGCCCCACAACCAGCACTGCGGTGCTTTAGGCTGGTCAGTTTGCATGATTCCCTCTGCTCCAAACTTCCTCAGGGCTTCCAAACTCTGTACCCTTACGCCACATCTGCACACATCACCAGCTGCTTGGTGCGTCTCTGGGATGGCAAATAGAAGCAGAGCTTGGGAAGTCCCTGGGGAATGAATAAGCCCAGATCTTGTTTCTTTTCAGCTGTGTCCTGTGGAATCCCAGAGGCGCCAGGAAACGGCTCATTTGTGGGAAACGAGTTCACTTTGGACAGTAAAGTGACGTTTGAATGCAACGAGGGCTTCAAGCTGGACGCGGATCAGCCGATGGCCGCGGTGTGCCAGGAGGATGGGCAGTGGAGCACCAGGGGCCGGTTGCCCGTCTGCAGGCGTGAGTGTCAGCGCCGTCTGCGCAGCACATCTGCGGGACGTGCCAGGGTCGGCTCCAGGCTGGGTTGTGGTGAGGCCGTGGTCTCTGGTCCAGTGGTACAGCCACCTCACCCACGCGGACTGGTGCTCCACTTAACATGAGCTCTGCACCTGTGCACATGAGCGGATGGGTGCTCCGGCTCCAGGGTACCCACACCACAGAATCTGCCCGGCAGGTCCTCGTCTCTGCCATGATGGTCAGTGTCGGAGACCGGGTCCGGGTGGCGTTGAGCACCAGCATCGCACAGGAGATACTAGCCTGCCACCAACACAGGGTGATCCGAGGCCCTTGACACTCAAGGCAAGGCTTCAATTTGTGTAGATCACTGCTTTTATACAGTGACTGACGCTCAGCAGGTACAACCTTGATTCCAGGCTAAGTGTTACAGAAGTCTACTTAGAATGTACAGTCATATTTTTCTAAGAATCAAGAGTCAGAAGTTTAGATGCTAGGTGAAAATCCAGCTATAAAAAATAGAAAAGTCCATAACACAAAGCCAGACACAACATAAACACATACACTCACATGCACACACAATCACACATATACTCACACATTCACACACAATCACACACACACACAATTTTTATGACAATGTTTTCAATACAGGTGCATTTAAACTGGTCTCACATTGGGCTAACACACTCTTCCTGTCTCCCAGGATTGAAAGCTGTTCGCTATTCTATAAATGATGATATTTTCACTCAGATGGCATTAGTGTGTCGTGTTCATATTACATTCAAGTAATTAAAGCTTTTGGTATATTTTGGTCATGCAAAAAAATACATAAACTCACTGGGAAGATGTGAACATAGGCATTTTACAGAAAATATTCCCCCTGGTTTTCCTTTCTTTTATTGTCATCATTTTTGTTTTGCTTCTTAGGGTTATACATCTTAGGCATCACTGAAAAGAACTACTATGTCTTGCTTATTTTTCATTAAAAATGTACGTTTTTATCATAATTAACAAATGTTGTTGGGAGCAAGGGTATGAAGAGGCCTCCCCTGTTCTGTTTTCTGCTTGTTGTGGTTTGGTTTTAGTTTACTCTTAGGAAGTTTCCTCTAATCGTCAGGGCAAGGTTGGTGCAGGCGCTGTGTGTGCGTGCGGGGCTGGTGCGGGGCACTGTGTGTGTGTGTGTGGGGCTGGTGCGGGGCGCTGTGTGTGTGTGTGGAACAGGTACGGGGCGCTGTGTGTGTGTGCGGGGCTGGTGCGGGGCGCTGTGTGTGTGTGTGCAGGGCTGGTGTGGGCGCTGTGTGTGTGTGCAGGGCTGGTGTGGGCGCTGTGTGTGTGCAGGGCTGGTGTGGGCGCTGTGTGTGTGTGAGCGGGGCTGGTGCGGGGCGCTGTATGTGTGTGTGGAACAGGTACGGGGCGCTGTGTGTGTGCGGGCCTGGTGCGGGGCGCTGTGTGTGTGTGTGCAGGGCTGGTGTGGGCGCTGTGTGTGTGTGTGCAGGGCTGGTGTGGGGCGCTGTGTGTGTGTATGCAGGGCTGGTGTGGGCCCTGTGTGTGTGCGCGGGGCTGGTGTGGGCACTGTGTGTGTGTGCAGGGCTGGTGTGGGCGCTGTGTGTGTGCACAGGGCTGGTGCGGGGCGCTGTGTGTGTGTGTGCAGGGCTGGTGTGGGCGCTGTGTGTGTGCACAGGGCTGGTGTGGGTGCTGTGTGTGTGCACAGGGCTGGTGTGGGCGCTGTGTGTGTGTGCAGGGCTGGTGTGGGCACTGTGTGTGTGTGTGCAGGGCTGGTGTGGGGCGCTGTGTGTGTGTGTGCAGGGCTGGTGTGGGCGCTGTGTGTGTGTGCAGGGCTGGTGTGGGGCGCTGTGTGTGTGTGCAGGGCTGGTGCGGGCGCTGTGTGTGTGTGTGCAGGGCTGGTGTGGGCACTGTGTGTGTGTGCAGGGCTGGTGCGGGCGCTGTGTGTGTGTGTGCAGGGCTGGTGCGGGCGCTGTGTGTGTGCGGGGCTGGTGCAGGCGCTGTGTGTGTGTGCAGGGCTGGTGTGGGCGCTGTGTGTGTGTGTGCAGGGCTGGTGTGGGCACTGTGTGTGTGTGTGCGGGGCTGGTGTGGGCACTGTGTGTGTGTGCGGGGCTGGTGCGGGCGCTGTGTGTGTGTGCGGGGCTGGTGTGGGCGTTGTGTGTGCGTGCGGGGCTGGTGTGGGCGCTGTGTATGTGTGTGCGGGGCTGGTGTGGGCACTGTGTGTGTGTGCGGGGCTTGTGCGGGGCGCTGTGTGTGTGTGTGCGGGGCTGGTGCGGGCGCTGTGTGTGTGTGCGGGGCTGGTGTGGGCACTGTGTGTGTGCAGGGCTGGTGTGGGCGCTGTGTGTGTGTGTGCAGGGCTGGTGTGGGCACTGTGTGTGTGTGCAGGGCTGGTGTGGGCACTGTGTGTGTGTGCAGGGCTGGTGTGGGCGCTGTGTGTGTGCAGGGCTGGTGCGGGCACTGTGTGTGTGTGCGGGGCTGGTGTGGGCGCTGTGTGTGTGTGCGGGGCTGGTGTGGGGCGCTGTGTGTGTGTGCAGGGCTGGTGTGGGCGCTCTGTGTGTGTGCGGGGCTGGTGCGGGCGCTGGTGTGTGTGCAGGGCTGGTGCGGGCGCTGTGTGTGTGCGGGGCTGGTGCAGGCGCTGTGTGTGTGTGCAGGGCTGGTGTGGGCGCTGTGTGTGTGTGCAGGGCTGGTGTGGGCGCTGTGTGTGTGTGCAGGGCTGGTGTGGGCGCTGTGTGTGTGTGCAGGGCTGGTGTGGGTGCTGTGTGTGTGTGTGCGGGGCTGGTGTGGGCGCTGTGTGTGTGTGCAGGGCTGGTGTGGGGCACTGTGTGTGTGTGTGCAGGGCTGGTGTGGGCACTGTGTGTGTGTGCAGGGCTGGTGTGGGGCGCTGTGTGTGTGTGCGGGGCTGGTGTGGGCACTGTGTGTTTGCGGGGCTGGTGTGGGCGCTGTGTGTGTGTGCAGGGCTGGTGTGGGCACTGTGTGTGTGTGCAGGGCTGGTGTGGGGCGCTGTGTGTGTGCAGGGCTGGTGCGGGTGCTGTGTGTGTGCGGGGCTGGTGTGGGCGCTGTGTGTGTGTGTGCAGGGCTGGTGCGGGGCAATGTGTGTGTGTGCAGGGCTGGTGTGGGCGCTGTGTGTGTGCACAGGGCTGGTGTGGGCGCTGTGTGTGTGTGCGGGGCTGGTGTGGGCGCTGTGTGTGTGTGTGCAGGGCTGGTGCGGGCACTGTGTGTGTGTGCGGGGCTGGTGTGGGCACTGTGTGTGTGTGTGCAGGGCTGGTGTGGGCACTGTGTGTGTGTGTGCGGGGCTGGTGCGGGCGCTGTGTGTGTGTGCGGGGCTGGTGTGGGCGCTGTGTGTGTGTGTGCAGGGCTGGTGCGGGCACTGTGTGTGTGTTCGGGGCTGGTGTGGGCACTGTGTGTGTGTGCGGGGCTGGTGTGGGCGCTGTGTGTGTGTGCAGGGCTGGTGTGGGCGCTGTGTGTGTGTGTGCAGGGCTGGTGCGGGCGCTGTGTGTGTGTGCGGGGCTGGTGCAGGCACTGTGTGTGTGTGTGCAGGGCTGGTGTGGGCGCTGTGTGTGTGTGCAGGGCTGGTGCGGGCACTGTGTGTGTGTGTGTGCAGGGCTGGTGTGGGGCACTGTGTGTGTGTGTGCGGGGCTGGTGTGGGCGCTGTTTGTGTGTGTGCAGGGCTGGTGTGGGCGCTGTGTGTGTGTGTACGGGGCTGGTGTGGGCGCTGTGTGTGTGTGTGCAGGGCTGGTGCGGGCACTGTGTGTGTGCGGGGCTGCTGTGGGGCACTGTGTGTGTGTGCATGGCTGGTGTGGGCGCTGTGTGTGTGTGTACAGGGCTGGTGCGGGGCGCTGTGTTTGTGTGCGGGGCTGGTGCGGGCACTGTGTGTGTGTGTGCAGGGCTGGTGTGGGCACTGTGTGTGTGTGCGGGGCTGGTGTGGGCACTGTGTGTGTGTGTGCAGGGCTGGTGTGGGCGCTGTGTGTGTGTGTGCAGGGCTGGTGTGGGCACTGTGTGTGTGCAGGGCTGGTGTGGGCACTGTGTGTGTGTGTTCAGGGCTGGTGTGGGCGCTGTGTGTGTGTGTGCAGGGCTGGTGTGGGCGCTGTGTGTGTGTGCGGGGCTGGTGTGGGCGCTGTGTGTGTGCAGGGCTGGTGTGGGCGCTGTGTGTGTGTGCAGGGCTGGTGTGGGCGCTGTGTGTGCGTGTGCAGGGCTGGTGCGGGCGCTGTGTGTCTGTGCGGGGCTGGTGCGGGCGCTGTGTGTGTGTGCGGGGCTGGTGTGGGCGCTGTGTGTGTGTGTGCAGGGCTGGTGCGGGCGCTGTGTGTCTGTGCGGGGCTGGTGCGGGCGCTGTGTGTGTGTGCGGGGCTGGTGTGGGCGCTGTGTGTGTGTGTGCAGGGCTGGTGCGGGCGCTGTGTGTGTGTGCGGGGCTGGTGCGGGCGCTGTGTATGTGTGCGGGGCTGGTGTGGGCGCTGTGTGTGTGTGTGCAGGGCTGGTGCGGGCGCTGTGTGTCTGTGCGGGGCTGGTGCGGGCGCTGTGTGTGTGTGCGGGGCTGGTGCAGGTGCTGTGTGTGTGTGCGGGGCTGGTGTGGGCGCTGTGTGTGTGTGTGCAGGGCTGGTGTGGGCACTGTGTGTGTGCAGGGCTGGTGTGGGCGCTGTGTGTGTGTGCAGGGCTGGTGCAGGCGCTGTGTGTGTGTGTGCAGGGCTGGTGTGGGCGCTGTGTGTGTGTGCGGGGCTGGTGTGGGCACTGTGTGTGTGTGTGCAGGGCTGGTGTGGGCACTGTGTGTGTGTGCGGGGCTGGTGCGGGCGCTGTGTGTGTGTGCGGGGCTGGTGTGGGCGCTGTGTGTGTGTGTGCAGGGCTGGTGCGGGCACTGTGTGTGTGTTCGGGGCTGGTGTGGGCACTGTGTGTGTGTGTGCGGGGCTGGTGTGGGCACTGTGTGTTTGCGGGGCTGGTGTGGGCGCTGTGTGTGTGTGCGGGGCTGGTGTGGGGCACTGTGTGTGTGTGCAGGGCTGGTGTGGGCGCTG